GCTGCTCAGAGCTCACAGGGGAAGCTCAGAGAACAGAAGACATGGCAGCCTGACAACTAGCAATTGGAGCCTCAGCAAAGATGGTGTAAGTTGATGCAGACAAGTGTCAGAAAATCAAAGGCAAGTCTAAGGTAGGCTGTCAAGAAGTGGCCAGTGTGAAGTTGTTGAGGAGAGCAGGGCACACACCAAGGTAAAGGAGAGTTGATTCCTGGGTCACTTTTGGCCTCCGTTCCAGATTTTCCTATAGTTCCCACGTGCCAGAACTTGTCCTAGCCTAACCCATGTACAACCCTTCCAGGGGGTGGGAGTAGACCACGGAAACAAAGCTTAGTAGTTAGCAGTACTCAGCAACAGCTTCCAATGAGCAACTCAGAACAATAATGAGCATACTATGTTTAAACCAAACAATAACGAGCATACTATGTTTATAATCAAACAATAACGAGCATACTATGCTTATAATCAAACAATAACGAGCATACTATGTTTATAATCAAACAATAACGGGCATACTATGCTTATAATCAAACAATAACGGGCATACTATGCTTATAATCAAACAATAACGAGCATACTATGTTTATAATCAAACAATAACGAGCATACTATGCTTATAATCAAACAATAACGGGCATACTATGCTTATAATCAAACAATAACGGGCATACTATGCTTATAATCAAACAATAACGGGCATACTATGCTTATAATCAAACAATAACGAGCATACTATGCTTATAATCAAACAATAACGAGCATACTATGTTTATAATCAAACATAATGAGCATACTATGTTTATAATCAAACAATCTCCTATTGAACATCTTTAAAGGGATTGAATTTGGATATCCATTGAGACCAGGAAAAGGATAAGTGGGTAGGACTGAAGTTGAAGAAGGTAGACTAAGGCAACATGATGTTCCAGAACCTTCTCCTACTTCTGAAGTTGAGTCAGGTGCTCATGCTGGGAAAGAAGGTATAGGACTGAATCCAGGCTTAGGCTTCTGTTGGGCACAGCTCCATCTGCCGAAGCAGTGCAACTTGTAATGTTCTCATTTCAGATGTGCAAGGATAAAGAGCTTCACAGAAAAGCTGTTGTGAACTTGGGAGACAAATAGGTAACTTTAAAAATAGGGAACATGAAGAAATGCATATGCTAGGGAAAGCCTTGAGTTTAAATTAAAAAAAAAATACTACTCGTACTTTATTTATTTATTTATTTTTAATTTAAAAAAATACTACTCGTACTTTATCTATTTATTTTTGGCTGCGTTGGGTCTTCGTTGCTGCGTGCGGGCTTTCTCTAGTTGCGGAGAGCGGGGGCGTCTCTTCGTTGCGGTGCGCAGGCTTCCCATTGCAGTGGCTTCTCTTGTTGTGGAGCACGGGCTCTAGGCTCACGGGCTTCGGTAGTTGCAGCATGCAGGCTTGGTGGTTGCAGCACGTGGGCCCTAGAGTTGTGGCGCACTGGCTTAGATGCTCCACGGCATGTGGGATCTTCCCAGACCAGACCTCAAACCCATGTCCCCTGCATTGGCAGGCGGGTTCTTAACCACTGCGCCACCAGCGTGGTCCCAGGCTGTTTTTTTTACATAAACTTGTTTTTGTTCAAATTCATTGATAAGGGCCCTAGTGGAGGGACATTCTGCCACTTTGAATGTCTTAAGTGGGCTGATGTCTTAAGAGGGCTGCCTTGTGAGGAGCTTAAAGAGTCCACTTACCCAGCGCCTCTTAAACCGGCATGCATCAGAGCCACCTGGCAGTGCTTGTTCAATATGCAGAATTTATAAGAATATTTTTCTTGTTTATCCAAAATAATCTCTTGAAAGCAACTATATTAAGGATTTCATTTCTCACAATAGACCAAAAATTATTTTCTATATTTAAAAATTTTTTAAAGGCTACTTTAGCTTTACTAGGGAAATTTTTTTCTAAGGGAAAATCAAATCTCACTTGCAAAAACTTGGGAAAGGGCAAAATCAAGTTAAAAATTTCCCCCTATGAACTTAGAAATATTAATAAAAGCAAAATGTTCTAAAGGTTACATCAGTCAGGGTCCTGACCCCTCTTTCCCCCCCCAAAAAAGCCTTATATTGAGTCATTAGAGAATATTGTAATAAAGGCACTATTTGCAAGAGACGTGTTGGGCTGAGATAAAGAACAAGGGATGCTACACAACTCTTAGACCGGTAGGTGCAGGAGCCATTACCACCACTAGACCTGAAAGGGCAAGGGAGCCCTGATCCAGTTAAGGGAACCTAGAAAGAAAGCAGATGGAGAGGGCCGCCTGGCAGGAAGGAACCAGGGAAATAAATATGCCACCCTCATTGGCCAACTCTTCCAGAGGCTAGAGAGCAAAGGGAGCCCATGGATGCATTCCCCGTGGCTCAGTGTCGGGGGGCAAAGAGCAGGTGGAGAAGGGGAGAGAATGGATCCTGAGGGACAAATGGAGAAAATCCAACATCCATCAGAGGTGTCTAAGTGACAGGAGTGGCTATTGTGTATCTTAACAAGCACTGAAGAAAACAGTAAGATTTCCTTTCTACCATCTTGTTTATGTTACCCTGTAGTATGTTTATAAGAAATGTATTATCCTTAAGTGTTATGGTCTTGTATCTGGGGAGGGGAGCAGAATCCTGTGCCTCGCTCCCAGACATATAGAATCAAGTCTCACCCTGGAAGGGGCCCAGAAATCTGAGCTTTAAACAAGCACTCCAAATGATGCACACACAACTTTTAGAATCATGGAGCTACAAAATGAAAGGCTGGGCTGTAGCAGTTACGTTGGTAGGAAAGTGGTAACAGTTATCTATGTTGAGAAAGCAACTCTACACAAAAAGTATGTATGCACATAGACAAGGGAAGGGGTGAGTTCTAAAACTTATTTTCCCATGATAATGTTCATGTAAGAGCCTATAAAACTAAAAACACTCAGAGAACTTGGGGCAGGTGAAACATTAGGTCACCACAAGGGTCTGGGCCCCCTCCTGAGGAGTCCCAGGACCCCAACCGGGTACCTAAGTTCTCTTGGTCCGTGTCAGAGCTGCTCAGAATCCCAGTCTCCCAAGCCAGCTCAGCCCTAAACAGACATGCAGAGGGAACATCTGTGGCTTGAAAGAGGAAGGTCAGACCCTGACCTGGCTTCACAGGACCCCACAGGCCTTTTAGGTACCAATGGGCAGGCACCCTCCATGGACAAGTCTTACCTTCCCCTGCTCCTGGGGTGAGTGGCTGAACCTTTGTTACTTGGGCTGGGGAGTTTGGTTTCCTTGTCAGCGGTTCCCAGGTGGTGAAAGTTATCTGCCCAAGGTAATGTTAAGCACAAGGGAAATAACCCTTGGGGCTAGAGACAGCAAGGTTGTTCTGGAAGTTTCCAAGGCAGCACAGCTCTTGTGGCTGTGTCCCTATGGAGGCCCTGAGCTGGGCTTTTTGCCTCTCCTTGAAGTCTTCTGTCTTTGACTGGACTGCTAATGACCTGTGAAGCTTGGGACAGGGCAGGGGAAGCTGCAGGGTCAGCCTAGCTTCCCCCAAGAAGCCAGTGAGTTGCCTGCAAAGAGGAAATTCAACTGTAGGCCTCAGGGCAGAGAGAGAGGCCTTCTCTAACCCCAGAAGTTAGGAAATGCTCATTATATTCTATGTAAAGGGACCCCCAATACTTTCTGGGCTGACACAGAGAAGGACTATTTATTTCTCAGCAATGCTTGTCTGAGTTGGCAAGCTTGGGCTGGAGCAGGGAAAAGCAGATACAAAACAATCATGTGATGGAATTACACCTGCTGAGATAAAGAACAGTGTGGCTCCCCGAGCAAACATTCTTGCAGACTCTGCATTGCAAACTCTGGCTCAGGAGGTGCTGGGTTAATTTGTCTTTTGCCAACTAAAGGCAAATGGAGGGAGGCAGAGCCTGGCAGCTTCTCCAGGTGCCTGGTGATTTGAGGATCACTCTAACCGCTCCCCTCCTCCACCACTGCCCTCACACCCATGCCTAAATAGCTGATATGAGTTTGCTCCACTTCATCAAGGAGCAAGGAAATGCACAGCTCTTTATTTTTCCAAATCAACTGAAATGAAGCTCTGAGTCCATTCTTGCCCTGGCTGGTGGGATCCCTCTTCCCTTAATTATTATTCCCTTAATTATTATTGAAATTCCCTCTCCCCTTGCACTGGGCAGTACTAGAATCCAGGCATCTGCTTGGTAACAGGAAAGCGGGACAAGGGTCTGAGATAGTCTATAAAAAAGCCACCATTATTAATATTGTTTCTTTTATTATGAGATGCAGACATTGGACTAAAAGATTTCTAATCATAGTGTCTACTTCACTGCAGGCTCTGCCGTAAGAGGGCCCTTGACCATGTTTTCAAGGTCATAAATTAGAGATTGTCCCTGAGGCAATAGTTTTGTGCCAAGTTTGGGGTAGAGGGAGGGTAGAAGGAGCTTTAAGGAAACTTTAGATCTTCCGCCCATAATCTGGGTCAGTTTCCCCATTCTTTGCTATAGATAAGTAATATAATTGCTCATTTCCATGTATATAGCCATATAAACAGCTGAGAGCATCCTCCTCTTCTCCCCAGATTGCTGCCACTGAGACCCTCCTACAGAGATATTTTGGAGGCTTAACTGCCAGGCACCAACTGCTCTCCCAGAGCCGTACAACCTCCAGAGCCCTGCACAGAGGAGGCAGGATCTCCACCATTTGAGGATGCCTCCCTGTTAATGTCCCCCCAGGCTTATAGAATTCAACTCTCTCCTTCATTCAGGAAGCTCCAGCTTCTCTCCACTCATCCCCACTCCATCCTCTGGGGCACCTCCAGCTTAATTCTTTCTTGGGCCTGACCCTTGAATTGTAGAGAAGCCGTTAATTAGCTCATTAGCTTACTGCCGTCATCCCCCAAGAAAAAATCAGGAGCCGAGACCACTGAACATAAAGCCTTGCCTGATTTGTAGAGCCAGTGAAGAGGAACAGAAATTGTTCATTTGTTTTTCTTTCTTTTTTCCCTATAGAAGAAAGGAAAATAAGCCTCGTTTGATTATCACAGCTGAAATTCTGTCACCAGAGAGTCAGTGCTTCATGTGGGATATTGCTGTCTCCAAGGGATCCTAAGATGTCCCCTTGGCAAAGTTAACAAAGTATTACAAGCACCGGAGTTCCCTGGTGGTGCAGTGGTTAAGAATCCGCCTGCCAATGCAGGGGACACGGGTTCGAGCCCTGGTCCGGGAATATCCCACATGCCGCGGAGCAACTAAGCCCATGCGCCGTGACTACTGAGCTTACACTCTAGAGCCCACGCTCCACAACGAGAGAAGCTGCCGCAGTGAGAAGCCCGCGCACCGCAATGAAGAGTAGCCCTCGCTCACCACAACTAGAGAAAGCCTGCGCGCAGCGACGAAGACCCAATGTGGCCAAAAATAAATAAATAAATTTATTTTTAAAAAATATTGCAGGCACCTTACTAATAGGTGCTCATTTGACACAGCCAGACAGTGGCAGGTGGGAGAATATGGGTGGGGAATGTGTGTCTTGGGGAGGCCTAGCTTTGCCCTACTTTACATTCAGGTCAAGTGGCTGGCTTTGTGGTTGGCCGTATCAAGTGACGCTGACCAGGAAGGCCTCTCCTCTTTCTGTTGAAGATAAGCTTGCACATTTCCTGTGGATTATTAGGGCTGGGTCACTGCATCCTAGGGAGGTAGCAAGGTGGGGTGATTAGTTTGGATATCAAATCACCTGGGAGTTATTGCTGTTTTATAAGAAACAAAGAATGACAAGGCCAAGTTCAGAATGAGGAGGGAATCAGAACATACGTTCACATAGTGTCTGGCAAGGCACTGAAGGCAGAGGCCTCATTTAGTGCCACTACGGTGGGGATTGGCGGTGACTTCATTAAACTCACAGGGTCAGGGGCAAGCACTGGGATAAGGTCTCCCCAGGACTGCCAAGAACCACTAGGCAGCTCCTGGGTCCCATCGGTATTAACAGAAGCTACAAGCAGCCTCTTGTTGGAATCAGTGCAACCTTGGCACTTACGTTCTGTGCCTCAGTTTTCCCCTCCCTAAAGTGGGGATAATAACATACCTACTCCATGGGGGTGTTGTGGGGATTTGTTAGTATATTTAAAGCACTTAGAAGAGTGCCTGGCACATTGCAAGTGTTATATGAATGGTAACTGTTGTAGTTATTGTTGTCTGTTTAAAGCCAGGTGGATCACAGAACCAGGAGCCTCAGGCAAGCCTGTGGAGCTGCAACTAGAAACAATTATTTACACTTGCTTCCCGCCTGCCTAGGGCTACAGATGAATTAATAGCTGTTAAACCCTCTTGGAGTCTCCCTGGGAAGGGCAAAATACCTGGATTTGCCACCACAATCCAGGTAACAAAGGCTCTTACTTGGGATTCTGCAGGTTAAATAGACACTACCCCTAGGTGGTAAAATACCCCCTTAATAGCCATGGTTTGAGGGGCTTTGCAAGGCTTTCAGGCTCCAACACATCTCTGTCAAGGGCTTGCCTCCGAGCCTAAAGTTGTCTCCAGTGCTTCCAGGAGTTCTGAAGAGGTAACCCAGTCTGCAGCCAGATTGTGTGGATCTTGATGCTGTACTCACTGAGAATCTTGAAGAAGTTACTTAATTTCTGCATCTCAGTTTGCTCATCTATAAAAGTAAGACTAATGAAAGTACCCTCTTTATAGAGTGTTTGGGAATTAAATGAAATAGTATGAGTAAAGGTTTAGCAAAATGCCTGGTAAACCCAACACTCAGTTATTGGTGGTGATGGTGGTTTTAGCTAGAGAAGCCATCAATTAGTGATTTAATAGTTATTAATCCACAAATACTCGATTTTTAAACATTTTATAATAAAATTATTAAGTATACAAAAATGTTGAAAAAGTAATACAGTGAACACCTTTATACTCACCATTTAGATTCAGTAATTGTTTTATCTTTGACTTTGCCATTTTTCCTGCTATTCATGATTTTGTGCGGTTATTTTGCTATCATGTGCATGTGTAATTTTCCCCAGTCATTTGTAAGTTGCAAGCATCATGACACTTCACTCCTAAATATTGCTACTTCAGCATGTAGCTACTCCAAATGAGATTCTCCTCATTACCATTACTAAATCTAAAACAATTGACAAAGATTTTAAAATATTTTCTAATGCTGAGCCAACATTCACACTTTTTCTGTTGTCCCCAGTATGTCTTTTAGAGTGTTTTTTCCAACTAGGAACCAATCATACATGCATGCATTGTGTTTGGTTATGTTTCTTTAAATCTAGAATCCCATCTTTCTTTTATAGGGCCACTGACTTTTGAAGAGACCAGGCCATCTGTCTGATAAAATGTCCCACGTTCTGGATTTGCCTTGCAGTGCTGTTTTCAGTGGGAATTTTGAGATAGGATGAAAAAACCTGGAGCTTGAATCTAGGGTCCCTGGGCTGTTCCAAGGACATATAATTCTACTGCCCATAGGAAATGAGGGAGGAAACCAAAAAACAAGGCACACTCATGTTTTTGAAACTCTAAACCTATTAAACACTAACTTCCTATTCTCCTCTCCCCCAGCCCCTAGCAACCACCATTCTGCTTTCTACGAATTTCACTATTAAGAGCCTCATATAAGAGGAATCTTACAATGTTTGTCCTTTTGTGATTGACTTATTTCACTTAGCATGATGTCTTCAAGGTTCATCCATGTTGCAACGTGTCAAAATTTCTTTCCTTTTAAAGGCTGCATATCATTCCACTGTATGGATATACCATATTTTGCTTGTCCATTCGTCTGTTGGTGGACACTTGGGTTGTTTTCATCTTTTGGCTATTGTGAATAATGCTGCTGTGAACATGGGTGAATAAATATCTGTTCACACCCTGCAAGGCACACTCACTTTTACCTTTTATCTTGGAGCTAGCCCTCATGCCGCCTCCAGAAACTGGTAACTTTAGAAAACATGTTTTAAATCCAATTTTCTTTTCCATCATTTTCTCCCTTTTACTGAAGTCTAACATAAAACTACTCCTTCAGTTTTGCCATTATCTGAAGCTTACAGCCATCTATAAGAAAAATCTGGACACTACTCAAAGCACATATTTCTGTGCTTCCTCATGTGGCAAGTATATTGATTCTAATAATATCAAGGTGTGAGAAGCTGAAAGCTCCAAGCTTTTAAAGCCACTAAATGTAAAAGGTCAGAGAGGCCCTTTTAAATCTATTTAATGAATTTAAAAAAATTTAATGGGAACCTGTTAGGCTCCCATACTTTAGGGGGCTGTCTTATTAAAGGTATTTATTCCAAGTTCCAAATTAACATGTGTGATTTATTATCTAGCTGCCAACAAAATACAAGAGGAAGCAAGACAAAGAACAAACTCTGAACTGGGTGATCAGAAGATGGGGATCCAGCATCTGAGCTCTTTTCATAACCATGTGATCTGGGGCAAAAGCCTCCACTTTAAGTGGTTTAGTTTTCTCATCTGTCAAATGGGAAGTTGGCTGATAGCCCTCAGATGTTACGATAGCCAGAGCTACATTTTATTTATTTGCAGAAATCAACAATAGGGAGGCAGTTGAAGAAATGGGAAAGCCCTGAAGTTGAGTTCCAGCTTTTCTGCAAATTAGTTGGGTGATCTTCAGCAGATCCCTTAATTTTATGAGTCTAACTTTTCTAACTTACAAAATGGAGATGATAAATATTGCAGAGCAGTGATAAAGATTATAAGTAATGAAGTATGGTGGAAGGGCTTTGTAATTTTAAGGTGCTATAGGATCCCTTGAGAGTTGTTACATGGAGGATTTTAAGCCATAAAGAGCTGTACAAATGTAAGGTATTTACTATAGAAGTAAGGACGCTACTCTTAGTGACTCACTTATACCAACTTACAACATTTTACATCAAAAATGGATTCTAAATCCTGCCGCCCACTTCCTAAGAATCCATTCTCTATTGGTCCTTTTTCCTTAAACTGCCTTGGGTATTGTGGTAGATCCTCGCCTCATCCTTACTTTGTAAACTTTCAATAGCTGTTTGAAAGTGCTTGCTTAATTTGCTCCAGAACTTGTTGCAACATATCTTGTTTTAACAACCCTCCAGCCTGCCAGTGGAGCTTTGGTTTTTCCAACTGTGATGACTCTAAAGCCCTTCATCAATTCTTGAGTCCTGGAACACTTGATCAGCTAGTTGGGTTGCAAGTTGCTTTAATCACTGAAGAGCAAGCAGCTTCCCCGGCTTTGCCATGTTTTATAACCTGCAGTTTAATAATGATTGTTTAACAAGTGTTCCTCGCTGGAGCTTCAAATAGTCCCTATCAACGTTTGTTCACCCTTCTCTTAATAACCACACAACCCTCTCTTCTAAGGAACTCCCTGTGTTTCCAGTTCAAATAGGGAGTATTTGAGGAAAAAGAACACGGGAATAGATGAGCTCAGAATTGAGCTAAGAGCTCCGGGGATTACAAACTGTTTTAGAGTTGAGGATGGTATGCCAGGCTAAATGATTCGTATGCATAAGAATTACCTGGAATTCAAAAAAAAGCACAGATTTCTGGACCCTGACCCCAGGGGTCCTCTTATTAAGGATTTATGAGGTGGGTCATTTAGAATATGCTCCTCAGGTGGTTCTTTTTTTTAATATAAATGTATTTATTTATTTATTTTTGGCTGCATTGGGTCTTTGTTGCTGCACGCGGGCTTTCTCTAGTTGCAGCGCGCGGGGCCTACTCTTCGTTGCAGTGCACGGGTTTCTCATAGCGGTGGCTTCTCTTGTTGTGGAGCACGGGCTCTAGGTGCGCAGGCTTCAGTAGTTGTGGCTCGCAGGCTCTAGAGCGCAGGCTCAGTAGTTGTGGCGCGTGGGCTTAATTGCTCCACGGCATGTGGGATCTTCCCGGACCAGGGCTCAAACCAGTGTTCCCTGCATTGGCAGGCGGATTCTTAACCACTGTGCCACCAGGGAAGCCCTGTTTCTCAAGTGGTTCCGAGGCAGGATTCCACGTTTTTAGAAACTTGTGGAGAGAGCACTGTTTCTCCTACTGTTTTAAGCAAGTTGATTCTAGGCAAGCCACAAACTTACTGTGCTCAGTCTCCGTGTTTATACACGGCCATGAAAACAGCGACTGCCCTCCCAACCTCATGGGTTTGAAATGGGAGTAAAATGAGGTAACAGGCATGAAACCATTTTGAAAACTGAAGAGCTCATACAAGTGCAAGCATCCTCTTGCCTCAAGGGAGCAGACCCCAGCTGACAGCATCCTGCC